AGTGCGGCTACTACCGTAGCGGAAGGTGCCTCGGACCTAGCTCATCGAGGTGTCCTGCCACGGGGCCTGGGCAATCTTCTGCGGCACGCACAACAGTCTCCAGCTACTGTTACAGATGAGGAACTAGGGGAGGACGAGCAGTATGGCACCTTCCGCGACCTTTCCTCCGCCACAAACGTGGCGGGCAATAGTCTCCAGCGTCTGACTCTAGCAGCTGGCCACGCTGTGCATCCTTTGCGGCTACTCCTCCTTGCACCGACGCATCCGCGCAGCATACCTCCAACATGTCAGCACTTGGGCAGACGCGCTTCGCCAGGCCCTTGGCAACGGAGTGGCCTTGCCTGCTTTGCCTCAACACACGCAAGTCCTCGATCCGGCCGCCGAGTGGTTGGCTTCCCTGTCCGGACAGGCGGTGGTGAGGGAGCTGCGATGGTTGATTCCGGACGAGCGCACCGCCATCTCCCGCATTCGTATGGCTTACCGCTGCCAAGGAAACCGGCCATCGGACGGTCGATTGCGCCAGCTTCTAACATTGGCGGGCGTCCCGCTCCGCGACCATAACCACCAGGTCTGCTGGGACTCAGGGGGCCTGGGCTGGGACGGGGCCAAAGCCCTTCTCCTGCACATCTGCTCATGCGACCATGCGGCTGCGCAACCCAGGCCACCAATACAGTGTTGCCCGCATTGTCGCGGTGCTGTGTTTGCCTTTCCCGGTGTCCCTCAGCCTTCGCCTTGCCCGTGGTGTAAACACATGGCCGCTATGCACTGCCGCGCATGCACTGCTTCTCTGCACTTCAGGGGACAATGCTCCTGGAACCATGGCGCCCACAGCGCCTACCACCCTTCTGCGTCTTCGCCTTTGCCGCTCTGCCCTGACTGCCATTAGCGCTGGCTATGTGCTCGTTCCTCCCTGCCCTGGTCTCGGCCAAGTCCCACTCCTCCGCCTATCCTGCAACTCATGTCCACTCTTTCCGCCGAATGTGTCCCGGGAGCGGGAGTGGCTAGCAGTCGCATCGGCGCTACCTTGCGGCAAAGACTTCGCCGGCATATTCGTCGATGGCTCCCCACAGACTGGACCCCTGTGGAGGAGGATTTCAACAGTTTCAGAGCTGCATGTGCTCCCATGGTCCTGCCCGTAGCGGCCCTCCGCTGCGAGCTCCAGGCCGTAGTGGAAGGCATGGCCCAGCACGGGTCTGCGCAACTGCGCACCGTTGACGGCCGCACACAAGTGCGGAGGCACTAGCGGATCAGCGCGGTCACCTGGGCAAAAAAGAATGTCCTGCTCGCTTGCTTCTTGCCTGCCCGCGTTGCATGCTGGTACCTGCTGTTTCCATGCCGCTTTCTCCTTTCCCCCGCCGCATTTCGTCTCACAATGACTTGCGTAGGCTCGCTGGGTTTGTGGCGTAGTCCTGCGCCTGTGGTACGGCCGTGTCCGTGGCAGTATTCATCTCGTCACTCTGCTCTCTTCCTGCTCTCCCTCTTCTCCGTTGCCTCTCTGCTTTCTTTCTGCCTTCTCCTTCCTGGTCTCTCCCTCCCCCGCTCCCTCTCCTGTCCCTCTCGCTCTCCCTTCTTTTTTTCCTCTTTTCTTCTGCGGTTTGATCCTTAAGCCATTTGGCCGGAGGTGATACCGCCTTTTTCTTCGGCCGGTCACCCCTCACTCACTCACTCACTCACTCACTCACTCACTCACTCACTCACTCACTCGCACGCGGCGATCAGGATAGGTTACTGGGATGATTCGAGTAGAGGATACCTTTCTGTAGCACGTTTTGAGACTTCTTTGCCCTTGGGAGTCAATGGTGTTACATGCGAACTTGACGTATGCGTGGCACAGTTTACCCGAGTGGCAGGACGAAGATCAGGAAAGAAATGTTTAGTGAGACGACCCGACGTAAGTACGCACCGGGGCCGTTTCTGCACTGGCAGGTCGGTTTCTTTACCATCATCGTGCAGCCCACCTTTGCGCTGTTGGCAGAGCTGCAGCATAGAGTGAAGGCTTGTGCTTCTGCGCGATTGTAGAATCCGGTAGAGGCGACCGGGCACATCCTGTTCTGCACAGGATACCCAGCTTGCGCACCTTCGGAAAAATACGGAAGCCTGGGAGATACGGAAGAAGGCAGAGTCGCTTGGCTCGGTGATCGAAGCCTCGGCTGATCGCAACAAAAAAGAAGGTCACTCGGTCTAGGCGGTCACTAATGGTCACTAGGTCAGACTTGCGCAGGGTTTTCTGCACCTTTCATCGCTTCTGTGGACTCGGCTTGTTCCTCCGCCCAGTGTGTATGAGTAGCAAGGGCAGCAGCATGCCAGCTTTGGTGGCACCGAGGTGTAGCGACCATGTAAGTCCCTCGCTTCGCGGATCTCCACGTCAGATTGCTGTGCCTTCCGGCTGTGCGACCAGAGGGTCCTACACGAGGCCAGGCTGCAAGCTGAGAGCTGAGCAGGTTGCACGCGGGGCCGTGGGGCGTGTTTTCAGGCACGAGCCTGGGCCAAGCGCCGCCAGAACAACTTCGAGCCCTCCCAGTGCGCCAAGCCAAGTTTCGAGCGAGTCCAGTCCGCTGCGGAGCTTGCCTGGGGTCTCATCTTCCAGATGTCCCTGAGCCAAAGTACACCTTTCGCGGCGTGCTTGCAATGGCAATGGCTGCAATCAGTTCTGCCAGATTCCAGACCGGGCAGTTTTCGGGAAGAGTAACTGTGCACCTAATCTTTTGCGCAAGTCTGCGAACTGGAACTGGCGAGCGTGGAGAGTCTTCCAGCCACTCGCCTGGCGCTGGGGGAGTTGAACTCGGTGCTGGGTGTGCCCAGTCGTGCCGATGTGAAATCGCATCGCACCGGGCCAAAGCTCAGTGGTTGCTGCGTGTTTAGTGCTCATGTCGGATTTCACGATGCAAGCACTTATCTTAGATTTCAGTACGATACTGCTGTGTTAGGCCTCACAACGGTGGTGAACATCTTGTTGGGTCCACAGGCAGTGCCCTATGCCAGCACTCGTAGTGCGTTTAGTTGTTTCCTTGCTGAACTGGACGGGTGTCCACTAAGTAACGGAGAAGCGACCTGCTTTTCCCTCAAGACCACAGATACTTGGAACGAGCTTTCGGGGCAGATCGTAAGACTGCCTCGAGAGCCTTTGCGCGAAGTACGTCTTGCTCTTTCATCGACTCGACGGCACTACAAGGCTGTTGCAGAGTTTCATCAGCTTTCGTACTGCTTCGAGATGTGGAGCGGGACAACGCACCCGTCGACAAAAGAAGCGCAGCTGGTATGTGCTCGCATGCCGCTAGGTCAGTTCACGGTTTTTTTCTGAGATGGCAGTCTGTTTCCCTGAAGCCCTTCGGTGATACTCGACAGTGACTTGGCCTCGGTACGTGCTTGAAGCATTTTGGCACGGGAGGGTTCCCTTTTTGGCCGGCAGCGCGCGTCGGCTTAAGGGGGACGCAGGACCGGGAAGCGATTGATTTGATGCCCTCTCACGGTGATCTGCAGAGCTGCTCTAAGGCCATGGCAGAAAGCGCGGCAGCGCTAGGGTTTACGATCACACCCGAAGGGTCCGGATGCAGGATGCTGAGCCTTTCGAAGGGAGCACTGCTGGGAGATGGATTCGCTTAAACTGAAGCAGCGCTGAGGTGCCTCGACCAGGGGGTATCGTCCCCAGTGAGCGCTCGCTCGCTGTTGTTTTGCTCGTTTCATGTTCGCTTTTGTGTTGAGACATCGGCCGCTGGTCGGATCCAAACGGGCATTGCCCCTGCAGGATCTCGTAGGGTTTCCGTGGTTGGCCCCAAGTCCATAATGCCATAATGACAGTAGCTCCTAAGAGCCATGAGCGATGCAGGGGAAGAGAAAGACGAGGAAGACGTAGAAGAGACGGAGCCAGAGGACGAGGGTCCGGATGACCGGCCGGCACTGAAGTCTACTATTGCCGCTTTGGTGCGGCAGCTGGCTGTTCTCCATGCCTCGAGCAATGTGGTTTTGAAGACACTTGGCTCAAGCAAAGTGTACAAGTGCCGAAGGGAGGTGGTGGCCACCTGGAGCCCTCCCTTTGAAACGTTGATGAAGGAGACTGCGGAGGAGACAGAAGTGCAAATCGATGCTCCGCCCGAGCTGCTGGAGGACGCTCTCGGCTTCATGCTCCAAGGGCGCCTGCCGAGCCTTCAGAGCGATCAAAGCGGCAAGGAGGAGCGGCGCCACTCGCTCCTCTCCTTTGCCGACAGATGGCAGCTGGAGGATCTGAAGAGTACCTACGGCGAGATGATGATGGGAAGGGAGCGCCTCTCAGCACAGAACGCTGCGTCCTACTTGCAGCTGGGCCTCAAGCATTCTGTGGCCAACATCTCCCTGGCAGCAGCTGACATTCTCGCGAAGTCCATTGACGTAAAAAGCGGAGCAGTCGCGCACGTGATAACTCTGGATGCGGCATGCATGCAGGCCATTCTGGCCAGCGACGAGTTGCACGTAGAAGACGAAGCCGAATCCTTGGAACTGATCCAGCGTTGGGCTGCCGTGGACAAGCAGCAGCGCTTACACGATGTACCGGGTCTTCTTGCACAGGTGCGGTTGTCGCTCTGCAGTTTTCAATGCTTGATCGACCTCGTGTCCAACTTGTCCAAAGATCCATGGCAAGAAGTCGACGCGAAGCGCTTGAGTTCGAAAGTGCGGAAGGTCGTTGATGAAAAGCTTGCAGCCGTCACCTCAGATAGGATGCGCCACTTCACAAAGCTTCCAGACCCAGAGCAGGAGCAGAAATTGGCAGCGATGCTACATGCCAGCAAGAGCCTCTATGCCGTCTGAACGGGTGCCGATGTTCAGGAGATCTTCGCAAAAGCACCGCAACGGGAGCTAACTGACTGCCCGAAAGTCTCTCCGAAGAGATTTGTGAGAACGGAGGGGTCGCCGAGTTTTGCACCGCTTCGGGTGTAACGTGGAACTCGCCGACCGCGCGGCGGCGGTTTCTGGGTGTTTCAGCATGCGTCGCCACGAAAAACCAATCGGGTCGCGCCCCGTGCACGCAGGCCCAGAGCGCGCCCAGTTCGGTTTTTTGGGACCGCAGGGCCATCGCAAAGCCTGGCCGCCCACGATTAGTTTCTTTGCTGAGGCCGAAACACTTTCTGCTCGACCCTTCGGAGACGAAGTGCGTCCGGATCGGCCACGCCCCCGACACCGACGGTTCCTTGATTCTAGTAGTGAATTCATGTAACCACGTGTGCGTGTGTGCCTGCGTGTGCATGCGTGCGTGTGCGTGTGTGTGTGTCACTGTGTGTGGGTGAGTGCGTGCGTGCGTGTGTGCATGCGTGTGTGTGTTTCTTCAGTGCCCAACCGCGAACATTTGTTGCAGCCATTCGGCAGCCGACCAGCACAGGCAAAGGCAAGATTTCCTCATGGCTCTAGCGGCTGTAGTAGCTACTATGCTTCATGGCGGATTTGATTGCTTCAGTAATCTTCAGTAGCCACGTGGGAGCTAGGAGCACTGGTGTACTAGCGGTGCAGGCTATAGGGGTCGACAAATCAGGGGTCCAGCGCGATGATCGGGCAAGCGACGCCTCAGAGTCATCATGCCTGGCCTACTTGGCCTGTTGCGAGGCCGGTTGCCAAGGCGCGCTGGAGAGTGGTCCAAAGGAGGGCAGCGCTGCAGGAGCTAATGGATGTGTTTGAGTCCGACTCCGATGCCAGCCAAGCGATCATGACAGCCGCCAGCGAGCGCGGCCAGTGGCGGGAAGTGCTCCTGCTGCACCGGCGCCTGCTGCAATCCGTGGACGAGGCTGCCCCGGAGCAGGTTGGCGAAGTCTTTGCAAACGCAGCCTCGGGGCTCATGAGAGCACGGCAGTGGCAGCGTGCTCTGGGATTGATCACCGAATTCAGGGCACAGTGTCGAGATAGCTTGACTTTTTGGTCCGTGGCACACACTGCTGAGCGTTCCAGCTCAGATCGCTCGGACCGAGTTCCGATGTTCCAGCTCCTCTTATCCATGTTTTCGAACTTTGGCACCTGGGATCAAGTGCTCGGGCTGCTTCAAGAGGCACGCCGCTGCCCCGAAGCAGTGACTACGACCGACATTGCTTCAGTGATGACAGCCCTCACGAACCAGAAGCGATGGCGCATGTCTTTGAGAGTTTTCGCCGAGTCACGAGACTCAGTGGGTGCTGATGCAAAGATATACAAGGCGGCTTATCAGGCATGGTCCTCCGGCCATCACTGGAAGCAGGTCATCAGCCTGTTAGCGGAGGAGCAAGCCATGCGGGGTGAAGATCAGGGTGTCGATGGCGCCATGAGGGCACTCTGTCAGGCAACCGTTTCATTGCTGAAGATGAGAAGTTCCAGTTCCAAAGCAAGCTCAACTTCAGCAGCATTGGCAGCCTCTCGCATGCTCGCCGACATGCGTTTGAGAAAGCTCTCGCCACCGATGCGCCTTTACAGCCAGGCTCGTCTTGAGACTTTCATTGAGGTACTATAGGTTCTTTGGAGCCTTGGTAGAACTGCCAGGCAGTTGCGGCCAATGCGAGGCAGGCCCGTGCTTCGAAGTCCCATCGGCAGGCCCGTGCTTCAAGATTTGTTGACAGCCAGGGCGGGCGATCCGGATCAAGCACTTCAGCTGATTCGGCAAATGAGAGAAGAGGCACCGCACGTAGCTCGCAATGCTTTCGACTGCCCAGAGTTGGCTTCCTTTTGTGAGGACTTGCCACAAACGACGCCTGGCTCACATCATGAATGAGTGTCAGTGTCGCCTGTGCAAGAGAGAGAGAGAGAGAGAGAGAGTCTTTCTATCCATTTTGGCTCAAGTCTCTCACCCTTGTGGGAACCCCGGCTGTCAACCGGGGGGACCTGGTGGGGGGCTTGAGGCCACCTGCCGCGACATTCCTCTCACAGAGGCCCCTTCAGGGATTTACGCCAAGCCCCGCCTTGAAACTGGCCCTTGGGGGACCCACCCTTGTGGGGAGCCGGCTGTTCCCCGGCGACCCTGGTGGTGAACCCGGGGTGGCCCAGGAGTAGGGGTGGGCAAAGATGCCACGCCACGGAGGAACAAGAGGTGCACCCGCAGACCCTCGGCCCAAAGAGGTACAAGACCGAAGAGTTGAAGGACCAGACGCAGCTCGACCAGCACGTGACCGTGGACCCCAACATAGAGACGCCGTCCCACCACAACGCTGGGAGGGGGACACCAACCAGGTCACGGACGAGCTTTTGGCAAGGACACCAAGAATGCGAAGTACGCCTGGAGAACAGGAAGCTGGTGCGGGAGGGACACCCACCAAACACAGCCAAGCCGGAGCCACAGCAATCAAAAGGCAACAAGTCCTCTTTGTACACAATATACGGGGACCAGCTTGCGAGGGGGGGCAG